GTGTAAAATGATTCATTTGCTAAGGGTGGTACCTTATATTGAGCTTTGCCTGACTCTTCACGACAATATAGTTGATACAGTGGACCGCATACCACACATGCTGCTCAAATCCGTATGATATCTAACTTCATGCTCCATCCTTCCCCAGCTGAAAAAGGAACAAGACCTAAGAGGACTGTAAACTCCTCCACTTGAGGAAGGACACCTCAGCCCCAACCCCCCCAAAAAACCCTCCCCCCACCACCCCCCAAACCCCCCCCAAAAAAAAAAAAATCAGAATCAACACGTAACAACAGCACCACGTAACAGGTCATCTTTTTTTAAACACACACAAAGTATTATGAAATTCACATTCTGTACAGCTTATGGCAGCTGGCATCAACTACGTCTGTGTTCTCAAACTTTTTGCACATGTAAACACCTCAGAAACTACTTACCTCTCAAGTACCACAAAAAGACCAACACTATTCTGTTGGCGTATAAGCCTATAGGTATTCTCAAGAACAAGGCAGAGGTTTCATTCCTAAAGAAGTATATTTAATATTGAGAGCCATTGTAACATTTTACTTCATTTCAACAGTACAACGGTGCTTAAATATAGGGAAAGAAAACGCTAACAACTGTACGTAAATAACTGATTCAATTAAATTTTCAATTCATTAACAAACGGTAAAGCCTTGACTCACCACTGTGAAATTATATTCCCGAGTGCGATGGCATTCTTGTCCACCAGAGGGTTTGGACCCGGGTGCACTTTTGTTTATTAGGGCTTGGGTCTGATGGGCCTCTTACAGTACTTCTGCCATTTACTCAACCAAAGAGATGTTGGTTCTTATGTTTGCGAATCAAATGATTTTGTTGTTCTCTGTTCCCTTTGCCCGCACAGAATGGGAAAATAACTTTTGTATATTGTTAGACCCGGCTCTAGGCCGTAACATAACAGAAGGGAAGAGACACCGGCTATGTTCAGGAACCCCCGCGTACGGGCATTCTATTGCATTCTAAATTCTCTGAATCAGTATCCTATTTTATTGCCAGTAAGTAACAGGATGTCACAGACTGGAATTGCTTGGCTCAGTGCAAACATTCATAGAGAAAATAATAAAAAACTAAAACTTAAAGAATAAAAAACACTTCTAAGGAATACATTTACATTAGAATAGAGTTAACGTTACTATTTACAATATACAAGTGCACTAGGTGCACCAATGTAGGTGACAGCAGTACAGTGAAGTAAGTGGTATGATGCGGCAGTAAAGTGACTTTTATAAAGGGCGGGGGACAGGTTAAGAGTGTTCAAGAGTCCAACAAGCATGAGGGGAGAACTGTTCTTGTGGACGGGGAGGTTATAGTCATGATGGACCGCCAGTCTTGCCAAAGGGGAGTGGTTGGAATAGTCCAGTGCAGGGTGAGGAGGGTCGGGGGCCTGTGATACGACGCCGGACTTCGAGTCGGCGGCCACGTATCAGGTTCCTGCAGCGATGGAATGCTTCGGCCAATCACTTCCTCTGCAGAGCCGACAATGCGCTGTAGTCTTGTTTGTCCCTGACTGTGGATCCAGAGAAACCACACCCGGGACGGAGGAGGTGAGGTTGGACTCGATGATGGCCGTGTAGAACTGCTCCAAACATCTGGCAGGCAGCTGGCTTTCTGAGGCTGCTGCAGGAAGTACATCCTCTGCTGGGCCTTTCTTGCTGAGGGAGTGATGGTCATGCTCCCACTTGAGGTCCTGGTGAATGGTGGGGCCCAGGAAACGGAAGGGAGAGTCCATCAGGAAGGGGGGGCTGGGGACAGTGCTCAGCCTGAGTCACACAATCATCTCCACTGTCTTCCTGGGCGTTCAGCTCCAGGTTGTTACCACTGCACCAGGACACCAGCCGGTCCACCTCCCTCCTGTAGCGGAACTCATCGTTATTGGAGATGAGGCAATGAGGGAGGTGTCATCCACTGGAACTTGAAGCAGTCACAGAGTCGCTGGCTGGAGGTGCAGTGGGTGTGTACTGGGAAAAGAGCAGGGGAGGAAAGCACACAGCCCTGTGGGGCTCTCTGTATTTATAGATCGAGAGTCGAGACATTCAATCCTTGACGCACTCGCTGATTCCTGTCTGTCAGGAAGTCAGTGATCCCCCTCGAGTGAACCGGGCACGTTGAGCTGGGAGAGCTTGGCCTGGAGCAGGGATGGCAGGTATCGTGTTGAGAGGCAGAGACCCGATTTAAGTCCACGAACAGGACCTGGCGTCGGTCCCCGGGGAGGGCCAAGGCTGTAGGATGTGGTGGGGCCAGGGTGATGAGATGTTCCAGATCTGTTGCTCTGTAGGCGAATGAAGGGGTCCAGGAGGGGTGGAGGTGAGGGACTTGAGATGGGAGATGACCCCAGGCGTTCCAAATGACTTATGACGACAGAAGTATGTGCTAACAGTCTGTAGTCAGTTGAGTCTGTGATCCTGGGGCTTTTCTGGGCACGGGGGCAATGATTGAGGTGTGAGTGAAAGCAGGCCGGGGGACATGGCAGGAATGCAGAGAGGGAGTTGAAAATGTCAGTGAACACAGGAGTTAGCTCACTCGCGCAGTGTCTCAGAGGTGTGTAGCTGGAGACCCTTGGTCCGGGCAGGAGCTTTGCGGGGGGTGCAGCCTCAGAGGGAGTTTGTTTACTATCTCTGTGCCCCCGGGGACTTGGCTGCTTTCAGTTCGTCCCTGAACGGATATTTAGCTGCTTTGTAGCGCTGCGGGCCCCCTCCTGAAAGCCGAAAGGACATGGCATCCATCCACCTTCCAACTGATGATTGGTAACATTATTTTATTTGTTTTATGTATTGATTTATTTGATAGGGACAAGTGTACACAATCAACATGTGAAAACACTACAACAAGGCTAGTTTGCAATGTCCGTCCCTAGGAGGGCTTTTAACACAATTAAAACACATTCTACATTATAAAATTCACATTATACAAAAGCAGATAGATGTTCTCCAACTCATTGATGCTCACACACCTGGTTTGTTTTAAAAAATCGCTTTAGTTCATGTTTAAAACCAGCCCAGTCAGAGTTCAGTTTTAGCTGAGGGCTTAAAGAGTTTATGTATTTATTTTGTGAATAAATGCTTTCCCGTGTAAAGTTAAACGGAAGTACTAAAATTGGTTACCCAAAATGTCAGAGATTAAATGTATATATTTTTTGTGCCAGCTTTGAATGAATAATGATTTCCTGTTTGATGTTGTTCGATTATTCCACAGAGGTCTGATGCTAGACTGTCCTTTCGTATGTCCTCGTGTCAGTGACTCAACAAAAAGAGTTTTATTTTGAAAAATGAAAATATTCTTATGCTCTCATCTCTAGACGGGGTTGTCCAACAAGGCCACACACACACATTACTGCACTAAAGCCAATTTGTTTTTGTTTAGATTTGTAGGACACGTAATCATGAATATTATGGAAGAATATGTAATTTCAATCTTTTTATTTTTTTTCAAGTGATGCAAAGTCACCGTTTGTTTCGTTCCCCTGCTCTGACAATATATTCATCAGTATTTATGGGAACCAATGCAATCGTTAACGGGAAACAGTGCCGTGCTGCGTGATTACGATACTTTACGAATTCTCATTGTGGTCACTAGAGGGGTGTATGAGCCCAATAATCTGTATGCAGTGTTTGTGATCCGTTGTTTCCGTGTATTTAATATTAATACAGGTGACTTAAAGACGAAGTTAAACATACAAAGTGAGACAAACAAAAAATAAAACCAATGTAAACCGCATGTCAATGAGATGTTTAATAGAGTTCGTGGTGTGTTTTAACGTGTTAAAATTGCTTTCTAAAATACAAAACAATTAAAACGTGACAAACGTTTATTTGTGGAAATTTATTGTAATGTTAAAATGACAATACCGTGGTTGGTCATTGGTTTATTTATGTACAGGAGAGGATTAATCAAGTACATAGACAAACTTTAGTTTGAGAATTTAGACTTATTTATGTCCAAGAGGAAAAGGGGCCAATATACAAAACAAGCTGAGAACAAAACTGAAAAAAACTTGCAGTTCTACAGGCGGGTCATACTTCTGAAGAACTATTTAAACTCAAGTCCAAGGTAATCAGGAAAAATAACAATATTGCCACCAAACAAACCAGTGCAACATTAACATAACATTAAAAAGACTACTGGCCACTGATACTTTGAAAAGAATGTCCATCTCCACTGTTCTATATTCTAACATCCTTTCTATTGTATAGTAGAAAGGATATATATGTATTGTATTGTATGTAGCTGCCGTAAGTAAAGGCCAACTTGTTTTTTTTAATGACAATGAGATTTACTCAAGTTAATTTAGGGAAAATTAACTCAACTCTAAATTATATTATAACCTAGAATAATTTTCCAAGTGGACAAAACAATAAATAGAACAAAAAATAATCAAAAAGATGTATCTTTGCATGGGTGAGTGGACAACACACGTCCTCACAATTTATTCGCAGATTGGTCACAATGAAAAGCAACAAATACAGAGATACTGAAGTTTTAAGTGAACATGGAACAGAAATTTTCATGTATAAATGTGTCGCTGTACAGTGGGATAACGTGTTTGTCGTCTGCAATTCATGCTCTGAAGGTGCTTCTGCAGCAGACGGACGTCTGCTCAAACTATGAGGAGCTGTGCTCACATGCAAACATACATGACCATTCACTCTGACTGTGGCTTCCTCTTCTGTATCACGAGGAAAAAACAAAACCTAAAACAACTCTGCCCACAACAGTCCATCCTTCCCACAATCTGGGAATAATTTACCTCCATAAAATGCTTCTTTATAAAAGAAAATATATATTTATATAACTGTACACTGTATTTATACAGCATAAGACTGGGCACAGTTCAAAGAGAAATCTCCAGATTGAGACTCTGGCTCTAGCACCGTCTCCTTCAAACTCGTGCGTGGCTCCAGCCTGAGTTTAGTGCTGCTGTGATCCGCCTGCGGTCAGTTCAGTTCAAGCTCAGGGCAGTTTCAGCCGGAGTCCGACTCACTGGTATCTGAGGACGAGGATGAGGAGGAAGAGGAAGTGTCTGAGGATGAAGAGGAGGCGCTGAGACGAGAGGGCTGTGTGTGAGACTCTGTGGCCGGTTTGTCCGCTGCAGAAACAACATTCATAACGTTAAACACATTTAGCAGATTTCAGTTTTAATGCTGAACACCAGAAGCTGGAGCTTCTCACGTTTGGTTTTGACCGGCTTCTTCCCAGAGTTCAGTTGTCCGCTGACGTCCATAAGCCGCCGCTCCAGCTCCAGCTGCTTCTCCAGAACCAGCTCCTCTCGACTTTTGCCCGCGCTGTTTTTACTCGCTGCACAGAAAATAATTGATGTTTTTAGTTTGGCACCCCAGCGTTATCAAAAACTTACAACCAGGGATACTGATACATCAATATCTGCTCTGAATACAGAGTGTATTTGACGCACCGTAAGGCTTCCGTGGCTTCTTCCTCAGACAGGTCATGACGTAGCGCTCCAGCTCCCGCAGCGTCGACGGTTTCAGCGTCTCAAAGTCTATCTCTATTTCCTCTGGATTCGTGTCGCGGAGTGACGGCTCTCGTGACTGAATGATGTAAACAACACGGCCGAGTTTCTCTCCTGGGAGTTTGTTTATGTCCAGACTGAGCTGCCGCTTCTCGTCGTAGGACATGGGAGCCGTGTCCTCCTCCTCGTCAGAGTCGTAGTGACCGATGAACGGCTCATGGGCAGAGGGCGGCACATTGAAAACCATCGGCGCCGTCTTTTTAGACCTGAGGAAGAATGTCAACTAGTTATTGACTGAAAGATACAATGTCTTTTGAGTCTTATAATCATTACGGATCATTTCTATTGAAGAATGTAAGTGAAAGAATTACTCAAAAAGAATTTCACGGATACCTACATTCTTCAAAAATATTTCACTTTTGCATTATGAATTATTATCCTGGTCTCTTATAGCAGCAATACAACAATCATAACTTTTCTGTCATAACTTTGTTTGGTGGATTTGCATGAGAATAGCTTGTGTCAATCCACCTGTTGCTAAAGTGTCATCATTGAGTTTTTGGAGTAAACTCACTTGTTCTTGCTGGTCTTCTTTGCAGACTTCTTTCCAGACGCAGTGGAATTCAGGCCTTTGCTGCTTTTGCTCTTTGGGGTTTTGGAAAGTTTTGGTGCCTTCGCTGGTTTGATGGTCACCATCTCCTCCTCCTGTCTGCGGTGTTTCTCCTTATCACCCTTTTTCTTCTTCTTCTTTTCCTTTTTCTCTTTCTTTTTCTTGGGCTTTATGATGGGGCCTTGGGAGAGCGCTGTGAGCTGCTCGTGCACGGCTTTCAGCTGAAACGTCAACAGCGCAGATTAGAGGGAGGGACACTACACTTTTACAGACTGTATTTAGCCAGATTTAAGGATATTTATCAAGTAAACAAAGATTTAAGTTTCATTTATAACATCTGGAAAAACCTTTATTTGACCAAGATTAAATCAAGACTCATCAATGAAAAATATTATCTTGATAGCTATAATGCATCATGTTATTTCAGGCTTGTTTTAGTTATTTGTTACTCAAGTGCCATATTTTAGTTTACCATGGAAAAAACTACAACTTGAGAATAAAAACTAAATGGTGTTTGGATCCGCACCTGTTCCTGCAGCTCTGCCAGTCTGTTTGCTCGTTCCTCCTCGGAGTCTGAGGACGGGCTGCTGTCGCTCTCCTCACTCTCGCTGCTCATCTCGCTCTCCGACGATGAAGACGAGGAGGATGACGACGACGAGGAGCTCTGAAGAGTCGGGGGGCCATCGGGCATTTTTGCAAAACAGAACTCAAACACATCCTGTTGGGAAAAATAACAGCGTTAGAATTAAACTTTTTTTTACATCGGTGGATTTGTATATCTTAATAAAGACATTTTGATGACAGTGACAGCAAACTGAATACATGTTTGAAACACATTTGAACCTTCTCAGAACCCCTGGTCTGCAAGATAAAGTAGAAAATGTACAGTTTCATAACAAATTTATTGTAAACAGACAAATCTATCTTCAAATCAGTTACATTTGTTTTGTTCAATGGCAGTTTCTAGTCACGTGTCACATTACACCAATGCAAGAGTGATCGAGTGAATTACCTGCAGTTTTCGGGCCATGGAGACAACATCATGGTCTGGAGGGTTGTACTTATAACAGTTTGAAAACATGAGTCTGACGTCAGCGGAGAATTGCTGTGCCTCTCTGTACTCTCGACCGTCCATTTTCCTCTAAACACAAAAAGCACAAGAAACTTGTTAAAAAGAAATCATTGAAACCATCCGGATCAAGCTTCATTTGAAGGGCCTTGACTTATTCATGCGTTTCAGGTCACTGCTCACGTGGGCCCCAGGCAGCAGGTTTTGGCGCAAGCAGGTGCTGAACATGGGGACCTAAACTACATACACAAGTCTACTTTTTGAAATTGTGGCCTTTTGTAGAAATTACTAGTTTATTCCAATTATATAGTACATTACCATTCTTTATGTACAGGAGGGATTTTGTATTACAAAGATAAACATGCATGGATCTGTGTAGAAGATATACAGTATGCACATGTATTTGTTCGTTTCATTAGAGTCCCGCTTTATACCTTGATGGTGCTGAGGTCCATCGGTTGTTTGATGATTTCGTGGTAATCGTGGAGCCCGAGTTGTGCCGCGTCCACTGGTTTGTAGAAGGGCCATGCGTACGCTGCGTGCTTCTTGGACAGCAGCTCCTTCAACACGCCGCTGCAGTAACGGAGCTGAGGGCCAAGTTTACTGCGACGTACAGGAGCAGCGATCATTGAATCAGGCAAGTCTTTCTTTGGAGGTTTTATGGGTCGCCCACTGACTCCCCTCCGCCCTCCAGAAGCCCCCTTGGTTCCCATCATAACCCCGGCATGGGTCATCGTCATTCCCATCCCCATCCCCATGCCGAGAGCGGTGGCAGGGTCTATGCTCATGCCCAGAGAGGCGAGGGTGTGTGGGGATTCGTGTCCAGAGAGTCCCAGTCCCATGGCACTGACACCCAGCGAGCTCATGAGTGGCATTGCGACTGTAGTCGGAGTGGTCGTGTCGGCTTTCCGCTTCACGCCCTTTTTCTGGGACAAAGGGGAATTCAAATGTCAACATCGAACATTAGATTTTAGAATATTCACATAAACTCTCAAGAACTTTGTGAAGATACCTTTGTTGTGGGCTGTGTGGGGAGAAGACCTGTGATTGTAGGAGCACTCTGTTCAGGAAGAATTTTAGTGAGGAGGATCTGGGGGGGAGTGGAGAGGACAGAGTCAGGGGTCTCCGGAGTGGGAGGAGAGTAGGCTGACTGGGACACAGCAGGGACTTGATGAGCAGTAGTTACTCCTCCTGGCACTAAAAGAAAAGACAAAATTAGGAACAATATGCTACAGCTATACAAAAAAATGAATACACTGCCTGTTCTCGATGACGCATGTAAAAATGTTATCTATATGTGCCAAGTTTTATGATAGAGTTGAGACATGTTCAGTTTTGTTACTTATTTGTTTTTATCTGTAGAGAAGCAACAGTCTGCCCACCTGCTGAGCCCCGTCCTTTTCTGCCACCTTTGCTTTGTTTGTTTCTGGGAGTGGGAGGGGCCAGCTCTTGTTCCTCTTGAGGCATCTTTGCCACTTGTTGCAAAAACGCCTTTTCCAGAGACTGTGCCATGAGCACAATATCGTCTGTCGTCTGGGGAGCAACAAATAATTTACAATTGTCCCATTTTAAGACTGAGTTTGACTTTTATTAATTACCTTGTTATATATGTAGCAATTGGTAAACATTGTATTGAAATCCTGCATACATTCACTTGCACTGCGGTAGTAATTATTTTCCAGTCTTCTCTTTATGGTACCCATGTCCATTGGAGTCTTAATTATTTTATGATAGTCCTGAAAAATATGTGTTTAAGTTTCAATATTCAAGTCTGCTACTGTAACATGTTAAGCAGTACAATTAGCATACGTAAGAAATGCTACTCGTCAAAGATACTGTATTACTCACAGGTAGACCGAGCTTGACAGCATCAACCGGTTCATGGAAGGGCCAAGCAAAGTGGTGTCTCCAGAGAGACTTCAGAAGCACTTTGTGTAGAAACTGGAGCTGATTTGTCATCCTTCCCTGTCGATTTGGGTCTTTGATTGGGGGCTGGGGGGGTCCAGATGGGGTCATCTGGTTGAGAGCAGGCAGCCCGGGACTCTCAAAGCCCTCGTAAAGCAGCGAGGGCTTCCTGATTCGCTTCCCAGCTGTGCCGGAACTCTGCTCCATCGTTGTAATTCCCATTATGCCAACCTCAACCCCGAGGAGGGAGCTGGTGAGAGCACAGCACAATGACCAATGAACTCAAACCACAGTTGGTCCATGTGAAATGTGCAACCTGCATCTCTGCTACAAGCTCACCCTACTGCAGGTAGTGAATTTGGTACATTACCCACCAGGTGATTTATTTTAACATGCAGTGGAAAGCAAGTGGCTCGGCTGCACTACACTGTGCAAGCTGCACTGGCAGACTCCACCCCCACTTCCCACTAAGCTGACTGCTAAAAGACAGTGGGAGGAGCTAAGGCAACATGGTACAATCTAGTATTTTCCGTCAATAACAAAATCAATAAACAAATTATTTAGAGGTCTCAGTTTAATGGGGATCGTTTATCTCGATACCACACCCACGTTTGCATGTGTGCGTCTAACCCACACACGTGTGCTCTCAACCAGGACAATATTTCCATGTGTGTTTAAATTTAGCAACATTCTGAGGTAAATTACATTTGGCATTCCAATGATAGAGAATAATACAACTGTGGGAAACATATTTAACAGTCTGCACTTTATTATTAGACTTGAAGTTTTACATAACATACATTTAATTAACTTGTTTACAGTTTTTTTGTTTTTGTTATTTTATAAAACACAAGGAAAGTTCACAGCTCTAGCTACAACTACTTCCTAGGGCATCGTAACCTGGCAACCAACACACAACACATGTGCAGGTAATAACGGGTGCTTCGGAATAAACACATTTACAAAAACAATAAACTAACAGGAATCACTGGTATACTGATCTGTCGGGGGTGTGTGGCGCATTTTTTTTTTTTTTTTATAAAATGACAACTGCTCCTTTGCATCATTCGGCTACAGCAACAGACCTAGAGAACAACAGTGATGCAGAACCCCATTAACGATACTAAACAATCAATTCATGCTATAATGGCTCGATAGTAGTCAAACTGACGCGACGCATTTTAATGAAATCAAGCCACAGACGGCTATGCCACCACTGGCACAACAGACCAGGTTGAGTGTGAGCCTGAATGCTATTAGCGCTAAAGCTAATACCGCTAGCATAAACAACCCAGCAGTAGCGGGAGAGAGCGGCCAGCGGCGGGCGCTGTGAAGATGGCGCCGGTGGAGACCGAAAACACTGAACTCATTCAGCCTACGACCGAAACACATCCACTCAGACCTGCACTCACGTAACTGACCACTTACTCCCACTGAATAAACCCTTTTACTTCCGTTTAGAGTCCAACAGACGGCGTAACAACAATAACAACTCCAAAATATTCAAATATCAACGAAAATGTCCGTAATATCCTCTGCGATTTAACGTCCGTAGTCATTTTTACCGATATATACCTGTCGTGGAGCGAGTTTAGAGCCATATCCATCGGGATGGATCCGGATTGAGTTAAATCTAGATTCAGCCCGGAACCAGAGTCAGTACGCCAGGTTCTTCCGCTCCCGCTGCGCGGTCTCCCTCGATCTGTTCGGTGAAATGGCGAATTTGCGACTACACCCGCGACTTTATAGACCAACGCCTCGTCCTATTGGCTAGAGCCTCGTGGCCTGAACACGCCCTCTGAACCGCTATTGGTTGTCTCCTGCGTCACTCAATAGGGCCGCGGCCCAAAAGTTACCCGCTTCCTTTGTAGCCTTTTGAACCAACCTATTTGCGAAAGCCGACTGTCCATCAACGAGACTATTCAACGCGATTGGCCAGACAGTTGCAGTGCTGCCGAAACGCGGCTTTCCACTGGTTTTTGCAGATAATCCTCCGCAAAATGCATGTACAGCGAACACTCCCTTCTCTTTTGCACATTACATTACGTCAACGTGTGCAGAATAACCACGCGGATTGGTTCCAACAGCTCTAACGCGGGCTACTGTGGAAAATACAATGAAGCCCATTGGTCCCTCGACCTGGTCACGCGTATTCCTCAAGAACCAAAGGCTGATCTACACGAGCGCACAGAATGCCCGCATACATGTAGCAGGGAAAGCACCACAGTCGCCATCTTTGAGCAGATCAAAAATGTTATTTGGACGACTTCAACACTTCAACGCTCAAAACACTACTAAAACCTGAGTGCAACGACATGACACCCCCCACGACACGTCAAATATAAAATGTTTCAAAAGTGGCGCAATAAAAACCTACACGACTAACGAAGGCACATGAGCAGCTGTTGAGCCATATCCGCCATGTTGTTAGGTGGGTCACAGGAATGACACAGCAATATTAGTCAGTGGAAAAGCATCTTAACTAACTTTCCGAAGTTACTAAATGTGACTAAACGCAAAGGAAAAAGGAACAAAGTAAAATCACAGTTGTAAAGGCCTAATTTGTAATCTACCCCCCTCAGTTTAAACCAACCAAAAAATCTAAATGTCAGCGCGTCCAAACGCTTAAGAGACGATTCCAAACATGAGACAATTTCCTAATTCAAGAACCACACAAAATGGTTACCTAACCACTTACGCCCATCCCCCACACCAAGGTTACAAACTACCTACAATGTCATAAAAACTATGGTGTAACAACACAACCATAATTTCTGTAATAACAATATGTTATATAATGGTACATTAAGAACCCATAAGTTATTAAGAAAAGTCAAGGTTAAAAAGGCTAAATTAGAATAATATAGAATAAACAATGAGAAGATAATGATGTAAAAATCCCAAATAATGCGAAACCTTTCTTCATATAATCTTCTTGCCTTCCACCTCGATACTTAAAAACCAGCACATTTCCCTCAAACATGTGCGCCTTCTTCTTGGATCACAGCAATGTGTGGGGGAGGGGAGTCATGTGATACTGGCCCTGATGTCCCAATGTCCGCCAAATCTCTTTGTTTAAAGTGGGTCAAACGAATTCGTCTGTGCGTTACCCAAACTCCAAAATATACCGGGTTTGCGTCGTGCCTTTGAAAAAGTTAAGAATTGTTGGTAAATCTCGCAATTTATCAAAACAAAGAAACAGTTGCAGTTCGAAATAGCTTCCTCTCATTGGCCAGATGCGACCACGTGACGCGAATGAAATCTTTGTATCGATTATACTTTGAAACCCGCTTAAAACGCAATATTCCAGCCACGATCCAGCGTATATCTTCATGTCTGTTCGAGAAAACGGGTCCGTCGTCGCTGTAGTTGGAGTTTCTTGTCTTGTTTCTATGCTTCTTTCCTAGAGATGACGCTCTCGGTGGTTGCAAAACGACTCAATGCGCATGCGCTAATTCAGTGAACCTTAACAAAAAAAGAAAGCCCCAAAACAAGGTCTGCCCACGCGTGATGCTGTTCCAGGGATCGATTTTCTTTCCGGGGAAAGGAGGTGGGATTGCCTTCTAGAGTGCAGACCCAGACAAACTGAAACCTACACCGATTTTTGTCTTTAGTCTATGGTGGTTAATTTTCGCTGAAATGTTTGATTACTAATGTATATTTCCATGCAGTCAGTTACAATTTCCTTAGAATTTACCGAAAAATCAATTAGTAAAAATTCAAATGGAATCTTTTTGAGAACCCTCAGGGATGCAAACAAATGGTGGACTCTAAAGGTCATGTAGATTTGGCCTCTGTTGAGTCATTTACCTAAATTATAAATGGGACCAATCTAAGAGAATGATCAACCCTCCAGAATTGTCTTTTGGCAATGGCAATTTTAAATGAGAGTATAGCAGCTGGTGTCTAGAGTTTGGAACTGATTGACTGTGGACCGGTATGAAACAAGGTCCAGATGTAATACATGAAACACTCTAATAACTTATTTTTAACTATGATCTAAAAGTGAATGAGTGCTGATTCATCTTGAAGGCTTAGATTAATCCATTGGCTGACATACAGTTCATATCCTTGGACCCTGAAGAGTTAAAATCATATAAATATTTGTTTGTGCACTCTTCTTTTAAGCATACAGAAATATTGAAAATGATTTACCTAAATTAGTTATTCCTCATATCCTACAGACTTTGTTGTTGCTAGAATTTTCAGAACTCTCCGAAGCAAACAGAGGAACAGCTGAGAGCAGGAGGGAGGAGTTTGTGGATTACATCAGAAACTGCCTCATCTCTGACTGAGTCATCCTCCCTCCACATACACACACATCTTTCTTTTTCTGTATCCCTGGCTTCTGCATTTCATCAGCAATTTCCACAAGAGGGACATAAAGGGTAATTGTTGGAGCTTGGTCTCAACTCAAGAGTCCATGTTGATATTATGTAAATTAGCAATTATAATATTCCGTACAGCCTGGTGGAAAATGTAGATTTTGAGGCTATGCAAGGAAAAGTACAGTAACAGTAATATAGTAAACAGATATTACAAGCAAAAAACTGCTACATGATATGACCCGTTCAGGGTGCAGTTTAGTCAGTCTACCATTGTGAATCTATTTTTTCCATGGCTGTTCTGCTTATTTCTTTATTTGCTTGTCTGTGCTCATGAGAGCTGAGGGCAATGGCCAGACTTTACATAGAGAATTATGCAAATAATCGCTTAGTTACCAAGGTTATTTTCCCTTTGCTTACAATGTGGTTTTGTACTCTGTGCACCTAGGTTGTTTACCCTTATAATTGTTCTATACTTTAATTTGACACACAATAGAAGTAGAATATCTTGTAGTTTCACATCAATGTATTTAGTCTAAACTGCCTTCTATAAGACAGGTAATGGAAAAATGTTGTCCCTCAGGATTGACTATAAAATGTTATCTAAAATAAATAAAACACTTTTACAATATTTTGTTTAACTAATATATTGTATATTCTATATTTTCAGATCTCAAGTGGTTCCCAACTGCAGTCAGAAGAGCTTTTAATCAGATCAGGATTTAACGGTTAGTGACAAATGTGCTTCCTGTAAAAAGATTATTAGAAACTTGTCCAGGGATTATTTTAGCCTTCAATTAGTGGGATTTATTTGATGAGATTGGTGCACCTGCCCTGGACACATTTTAAATATTACACGTACAACGTCAGCAGCAAACGCACATTGTGTTATGTCGCCCTCTGTTGACAACACTCCAGTTTTTGAATAACCATGTAGTTACTCCTTATTGGAAACATTTACCAAAACCTAGACTAAATTTGATATAATCACACATATTACAAAGGATCTTTGTATTCTGCCAACCATTTTGTTGAGATGCAGCTATAGCAACATAATATACAAACTATCGTGTCATCATTAGTTCTGTGTTTCTGTAGAAATGCGTTTTTAAAAAAAAATCTAAACTGGGTTTTCAGGATCTCAGACAACCATCAGATGATTAGTTTAGCTTAATCACCTGCCTTTCAGAGACTCATGTTTGAGTTGACTTTCGATCACATGCTGGACTGTCAGTCTATGGTTGAAATGCGTGTTGTAGAATAATGACAGTCAAGAAAGTCAATGGGTTGTCAGTGTTGCATCAAGATAAGTGAACAATAGCTATACTAATAAAAATAAAACAAAATCTCTAACTCTATTATCAATAACAAGATCTATCTTGAAAATAATAATAATAAAAAGAAGTGTAAAAGTTTTACATTTGGCAAAATAAGAGGCAAGTGTAAAGTACTGTATATTCTAGTGCAAGCAATCAATCAATCAAACTTTATTTATAAAGCGCTTTTCATACAAAAGAAGCAACACAAAGTGCTTTACATTATGGTTTGAAAACAATCCCGCCCGTGACCCCTCCCTCCGACCACCCAACAGACCCACCCCAAACCACATATATTATTAAGAACTCACAGACACGCAGACAATCACACACAAACGCACCCACGCTCTCGCACACGCCCACCCACACACTCACACACACTCTATGCACGCTTGCACACACACACACACACACACACACCCACACCAGTAAAACAATAAAACCACAATAGAGACTTGGCAGGGTCCAGATGCAACCAGCTGAAGAAGCGCCAACCAAGGAGCCGTCTGCACCAGGAGCAGAGAGCCGCCTGTAGCCACAAGGGACAACACAGGACCCAGAGGAGACACGAAGCCGAGGCTCCAGGCCCCCACCGGGTCCAAGAGCCAGACCCCAGGACCCAGAGGAGACACGAAGCCGAGGCACCAGGCCCCCACCGGGTCCAGGAGTCTGGCCCCCACAGCCACAGCCGACCACCGCTCCCAGTGCAGAGGGCTCCTCCAGAGGAAACACTGGGGATACTAAAAACAATACAATGACACTAAAAGGAACTATCATACAATACATTAATAATAGCAATGACAATAATAAATACTAAAGCTAAAATAAAATGTGTCTAAAAGATAAATAGAATATATAGAATGGAATAATAACTACTAATCAAAAGCTAATCTAACAAGTTGTGTCTTGAGCTTGCTTTTAAAAATATGAATGTTCTCTGCGGCCCTGAGCTCCTCCGGCAGACTGTTCCAGAGGCCGTAGTGCCTCCAGGCCGTAGTGCTGGAAAGATGCCTCACCGTGAGTGTGTGTCCTGACTTCGGGGATGGTTAGGAGTCTGCTGCCGGAGGAGCGCAGTCCAGCTTCTTCCTGTCCCTCTCTTTGATGCTGCTGCTCTAGCAGACCACACCATACAAGATGGCTGAGGCCACCACAGAGTCATAGAAGGTCTTTAGGAGTGGCCCCTGCACTCCAAAAGACCTAAGCCTCCTCAGCAGGTAGAGTTGGCTCTAACCATCGTTGTCCCACCATCCGCTCCGGCTGGATGGTGTTGTAGGCGCTGGAGAAGTCGAAGAACAAAATCCTCATAGGGTTTCTCTAGGTGAGACAGCGAGTGATGGAGGAGGGAGATGATAGCGTCCTCAACTCTGATGCCCGGCCGGTACGCGAACTGCAGCGGATCCATCGCTGAGGTCAGAGTGGAGCGGAGATGTCCAAGGACACGTCTCTCCAGTGTCTCCATGCAGTGTGATGTCTAATCCACCGGCCTGAAGTCGCTGAGGTCTTTGGCCAGTGATGTCTTGTGCACTGGTACCACACAGGAGGTCTTCCAAAGCTGTGGTACCGTCCTCAGCCTGAGGCTCAGGTTGAAGACGTGCTCCATCACTCCACAGAGTTCATCTGCACAGGAGCCTGGAGCTGATGTTGTCTGGTCCGCCGGCCTGCCCTGGCTTGATTAAAGCAGTTCCGTTCTGAAATGAGAGCTCAGAGAGCTTACTGTCTCTGTACATCGTCCCTTTAAATAAAGAGTAAATTAAATAAAGTTAATATTGGAGCCATTGGTCCATAGGGAGCGGAAGACCACTGTCCAGAAATGTCACAGATCCAGGTGGGGAAAAAGTGAGAAACAGGGAAGTTCAAATTGAGAGAGGGATTTGCTCCCACAGACTGATCCACGACTCTGGAGGCTACCAGGAGGGGGAATGGGTGCAGCCCATGAGTCCAGAGGCGAACAGTCCACAGGTGATGTGTTGCATGTGTTTTTATGCCACTGTTCGTATTTTACGTTTTTTATGGAGAACTTGAACTCCATTTTAAAAAGGTTCTACAGTCTAGAACAATATACAAGATTAACATTCTTGAAGTTTATGATCAGATCAGTTAATGTCAAGTCAGGTTTATCATTATTTCAAATGTAAATGTCCTAATTCTGCATTTTAAAATGTGCCAATTGTTTTATTATTTCAATATTATTTATACTTATTATCATTGATTAACTGAATAGTCTTGACAGTAATACTTCATGGATAATACTATTAATCCAACTTTTTCACATTTTCACAATCTAGCAATTGCCACATTGAGGCAGACTGCCTTTAGAATGCACAAAAGGGGGAAACTTGGTCATGAATTAATTTTTCATATTTACAGTCTATGGTAAGAATGCTCCTGTCAACATCCCTGTATCAATTGAGTCACTGCCAGTCAACAGCTTCTTTTTCACTAGATGGCAGTCAAAGTCAGTACAATTGAAGAATAGTTTTAGAATCTACTGGAAGTCATGTGGTTAAGGAGAAAATTATACCAAACTTAACCAACTGTGGCACTGCTGTCTTTTCATGCTTATTTTTTCACTCTGCAATTGTTACGATGGCTTTTACAAAGCAATGTTTTAATATTTTACCATGAACCACATCTTTTTCATTCTTTTATTCATGTTTTATTTGGGAATAACAACAAAATGTACAGTATACAGTTTTTATCATCATAATACAGGATATTTCCAGTTTCACATCTTAAGTCTTACACCGAAAACAAGCTTTGATGTATGTAAAAAATATAAGTAAAGTAAAGTAATATGCACTATAAAAAGCTTTATTTAACTTTTAGTAAGATGAAATACACCCTCCAAAATGCTATTGACATGCCGCTTTATCAGCAACAAAAGTGAAAGAAAAGGTTCATGGGGCTTTCCAGCTTGGTAAATATGGTGCTGAACTAGTTTGGCAAATACCTAAATCCAAATGAACTCGCCCTTTCGCTTCAAGGCATATGCTATGTGGCCCGAATACATCCAACACGCTCAAACTTGTTTAAGACACTGTGCATTTCACCAGACAAATAATGCAATGTAATTTTCTTATCAGACGCTAACTGTCAAATGGCGCCTGCTCCATACTTATTCAGAACACTTTATTTGCTTATGGTCAGTGCCATTTTGTACCTCGAAGCTACTGTCACAAAATGGCGACTGCGTGTCATGGATTGGTGGAGAGGTTGTTGGTTTAATCACGCCTCTCCTGTCTGTCCTGTTGTACATTTCACCAAACGGCTTTCTCTGCCAAGAATGTGCTCATGCACTTAGATTGATAAGGTGCTCACCTTTATAGTATGATATGTCTTTCCAACTGAGACAAGAGAAACCAAAGAAAGTATCTAGTGTTGATCTACTTTTGTGAAATCTACATACAATATATACAATACATACATGCAATATATGCTACCAAAGACAAATACTTATACAGCATGTGTGAGTTTTAGTGCAAATATAAACAGTCAAAAGTTTTTTTTTTTACTTTTTTATTACAATCTATATACATAAATGCAGAGATACAAGAAATATCCAGGCCAAAGTCTGGAATAATCTCAAATGTATGGATGGGGCCTTCCCCAATGTCACTGTAATGTATTGTTTTTATTTTTTTATTTACCAAACTTCATACATACTTTATGGACCATCAGAGGTGCCAGTATTTACTGTACACTACATCAACAACATTTTATGAAAAAGTAACTTCAGCCACCCCACTTTATAAGCCAGAGGGTTCAAAAATCAACGTATCAACTTAGCAACTCATCGTATTAGTATAGAAATTGCAGTAGTTACTGTACATGGCTGTACTGCGTTCTATAGAGCTATTCCATATTAAAGTCATAATCATACAGCCTTCTTCTTTGGATTCTAATGACTTGAATCAATCAACATTCTTTGTATAGCACATTATGCTCTAGATGTGCAAAACTAAGTAGATATATGAGCAATAAGTTTTGTAAAAAGACAGATCTGTTATGGTGAATTGTCATTTGTAGAGAGCTTCTCCCGGAGTCTGTGGTATTGTCCCTTAGTTTCTAACAATTGCTTGTGAGTTCCTCGCTCCTGGACTTTACCGTTGCCGATGACAACAATCTGATCCGCCCTCTCGATAGTTTTCAGTCTGTGAGCAATCACTAGTAGCGTTTGGTTTGGGCACTGATTCAGGGCCAGCTGAACCTGATGAAGCAAAAAGAGTAACTCTCAGGTTGTGGAAATGCTAAATACATAACTGCTAAAACCTTGAATTATTTAATCTTTGTAGTGATAATAGCTTCATTGGTTTCTAGTTTTTACATATGTAGAATTTAAGTTTGTTTAGTGCAGTTAGGTCAGACACAGGATACATAAATACTACATTATTATACGTAGAATTGTATCTACAGGTCTTAAACATTGCTTTGGTCGTGTACAATGGGTGTAGCGTAGTATTTGATAAATTAAACATTATTTGAATACTGTAAGTCTGTTTTGTGAAAAATATAATGATGGAAAGTTACTCAATTCTCACCTTCCTTTCACTGTCGTCATCCAGAGCACTGGTGACTTCGTCCAGAATGAGCACTTGAGGCTGACGCACCAAAGCTCGGGCGATGGCAATGCGCTGTCTCTCACTCTTCGCCAGCTGACCTCCACCCTCCCCCACCTCTGCAATGTGAACAGTGCATCTTGAGTGAGTTTAATGTATATTTCCACAGACACATATACAAACAATAAAAATGAATTTGATTATTACTTAGTTACCTGAGTTGTATCCTTTCTCTAGCTGCATGATAAAGTCGTGTGCATTGGCTTTTTGAGCTGCCTCCTGGATTTCTTTGTCCGTGCAGTCTTTTAGCCCATAAGAAATGTTGTCTGTGATTGAACCAGAGAAGAGAACCGGTTCCTGGCTCACCACCACTATCTGTGAAAGTGAAACTCTTTATACTAAATGTGTAATTTGCGTGCCTTAAGTTACTGTTTTGTCTTGGTAAAAATCAAGTTGCATTTATGTCACATGGCTTCGATCTTTCTGGTTGCTAATTCTTCTATTGTTCTTCTATTTCTGGTCTATAAGCTTTTCAAAATGCACTGGTGTTATAAGATTTTTGTGCTCACCTTTTTATGAAGGAAATGATGATCGTAGGACTTTAGTGGCTCGTTGTTGAGCAAAATCTCTCCACTCTGAGGTTCGTAAAATCGCTGCAGCAGACTTGCACATGTGCTTTTTCCCTCACCTGACGGCCCGACGAGAGCTGTGATCTGTCCTGGTTTCATCTCCAACGTAAAGTCCTACAGGGACAACCCAAACCATATTTCTTCTTATTTATGTTTTGTTGTACAATTAAATTGGCGACGTGACAAAAGCTCTGGTGTGTCCTATTCCGTTGCGCCAACAATTTGAATCTGAATTTAGGAACATGGTTCATCTAGTTGCTTACTTTTTCCTCTTATGCTATACCACACCATGATGAAAGTTACTACAAAAACTATTATCTGTTCAGTATGGATGTAATTAACGATTGTCATGATAATCAATTAGTCTGATTATTATTATTTTGATTAAAGATTCACAGAGATGACTTGAGTAAAAGTACACATTTTTGTAAACACATTTTCCTTCTATCATGTCAGAAGCAGTAGTAGTGTCTTTGGTGTTGGTTACTACATGGTACACAAAGTAGAACTAGAATGGCTGTGTGCTTTTCCTCACCTGCAGCACAGGTTTGTTGGGGCAGGACGGGTAGGCAAAGTTGACTTTCTTGAACTGGATGTGTCCCTGAAGCTGATCCGGAGCAAGCCTTCCTTCCGTGCTGACCTTAGGCTTTCGGTCCAAATATTGAAACACCTTCCCTGCAGCGCCGACAGAGTTCAGCATGTCCCCAAAGCTATAGGTGAGAGTCTATACGAAGATAGAATAGAAAACTCATAAAAATACAACTCACAATGTGGGCTGCTCTTCTGGTATTCCTTTAACAGCACAATTCCCTTTATTCTCTTCATCAGAGAGGCAAGCTGATAATTGTGTGATCAATTATTAGCTAGCTGCTTTACCCAATGTTCAATCAAGGGAAGATAAAATGAGCTATAAAAACAATCCAGTCATAATAAACTCCTTTTTGTATCGCTTATGTAAGCTAAATACTCATGGACAGTACAGTGATATTCTGTCAATCATTCCATAACACAAGTCAATAAATCCGTCTTACCCTGATGTTGTCTCCCAGGTTCGATTGGTACATTATGAAAGACACCAGGTTACCGGCCGTCATCTGTCCCCTTTGAATGAACAGCCTTCCATAATAAAACATCATGACCTGCATGCCCAGTCCAGTCAACTACACATTTAAGAAATTAGTATTATGAAGTCAACATTCCAAAAAAATGTTTATTAATTTGATCTTAATGGACAATATCTTTACCCTTCGGACAAGCAGGTAGATCGCTCTCACAGTGTCTCGCTGGGTCTTGAGATCGTGAATGGTTTTTAAACGCTGGTCATAACGTTTTGCCTCATGTTTCTCAGCGTTAAAACTTCTCACGACGTGGATATTCGACACCACCTCATTTGCTGTGTCATTTGCATGTGCCATAGCATCTTGTACAGCCAAAGATAGTCTCTAAGTGCAGAAGTGCAAGTAATGGTATTTCATTATAATAATATGATAACTTTCACAATCACAGAAAAAACTTTAAAGAGTGCCCAATATGACAGCAAAATATGCATTTGAACATAGAGAATATACTGTATTTAACAACATTGAAACACAATTTAAGTTGATAAACAAATTGTACTTTTTAATCTAAAAATAACTGTTTTTGACAAACTGGTTCTAGTTTTGGATGTACAATGCAAAGAAAACTACCGTCATAAAGATAGATACTGACAATGCTTGCTAATGAGCACAGAAGCATTTGAATTCTATATTCCATTGGAAAAAGCTGAAACAAGCACTGTTACCTGATAGTAAGTGTCATACACTTTTTGTACGGCTGCAGCTACAGGCGTCTCCATCAACACCAGGAACGTGAGCTTCCAAGAGAGACTCATCATGAGGGAGATCATGCCCACAGTTTTCACAAAGGTCCTCAGCAGCACATTGACATTCAAACACACAGTCATTCCCATTGACTTGGTGTCTTTGGACAGTCTGGACGTGATCTCACCTACATCAGGAATAGCAGCATGATTTTATTTCAGCTTTGAAGAATCAGTCACTTTTTATGCTTTATGAAGCAGGCTGTATCTCGTCCTTTAGGGTACATTCAGACTTGATCCAATCAAAGGCAATTGAGGCGATCAACGTGTTTGCTAGTGCTCCCTGGTTCAATCAGGGTTTGTTCACACTGGTTCACTTTAGATTGAAACTTGGGGAAAAATTCTTCACAGATTTCTTTGTAAAGGTGTGAAGTGACTTAAGGAACTAGTGGACACATGCTCACTTGATCACATCCACAAATCACACATTTCCTCCCCCCCAAATGAACCAGAATTGGTCCAATTAATGTGAACCTGACCAACAAGTATGAACACGCCCTCAATTCCATTTACATCTGAAGTGAAAGTGAGTCCAGTAAAAAACCAATTGTGTGTGAACAAGTGGAAACGGTGAGGTAATTCATGAATATTATCAGCAAATTCAAATACTCTACCCAGTTATAAAAAACATCTCTTCTCGCAGTAACATCTGTAATAAGTGTTACCAAAACTTACCAGTCTTTACTGTCTCAAAGAACCCAATTTCTTGTTTTGTCAAAGATTCAAATAGTTTTAGTTTTATTCTGGAAGTGAAGGACTCAACAGCACAGAGCAGCAGCCCTCCTCTTCCTCCTGCGCACACAGAACTGAGACGAACAAAGAAAACATACTAGTATCATTTTTTTGTTATGCCATATTTACATAATGACAATACTGTAGAGTAAAAATAAGTAGAAATACCCTCCGAGAGAGAACAAGCCCATGAAGATCACTGCCACATAGAATTCATTTGCCTGATAATGACCACCGAGGATATCGATTACTTTTCCTGTATAAAAAGGGATGAACATCTCACCTGATGATGAAAAAAAGAGGGATATAATTAAATGCTTTTGGATTAATGTGTGTGTTGAAGTATTCTTTTTGGAACGGTTGTAATAATTATCACTGTATTATTTTTAACATAATTTTGATGATATTCTCAACTCAAAGCTTGTGTACCTAAGTTATTGTTCCCTTTAATAATACATTTGGTTTGTCTCAACAGAAAGAACTTTGTTTAACTATGACTTTTGTTTCAGTGTCGCGTTAGAACATGTTATCTTTTGCTTGCTTGTAAGATCTTTGTGGGCTGAGAGCTGATTGGCTGACTGATGGTGCTCCTCACTTTTTTGTCTGAAAAAGCTGATGTAAAGATGTGATAAAGGCTAAAAAATACAAGCATTTGAAATCTCGTGATAGAAACAATCCAGGAACTAGATCGATGGATTTTATGACATAGTTCGTTTTTGTGGTTTGAATGTTAGGTACCGTAGCTTTAATAGGATGGAACAGGATACCATATTCATAGTATACAATCTTGATGTATATTTGCATGCTATATACATAAATATTGTGTGTTGGGTAAAATAAAAAACTTACAGAGCACGGCTAATGATAAGAAGACAAAGCCGCCCAGTAACAGCAGAATGTCAGGTTTGAACAGCCACAGGACCCTCATGAACAAAACTCTGGATTTTTGTTTCGTCTTTTTATCAGATTCTTCCTCCTCTGCGTCCGGGATGGTGATTTCCCAAAACAGCGCAGCGGCCACTGAGGCTCCGGTGCCCGTGAGCCAGCACCACCAATCCGACGAGACTCCGCACTCGCTGAAGCCATCGTAAAACAGTTTGGTCCCGGTCTCGTACACAGCGGGGAGTAGGCTGAGCGTAGAGATGAAGCGAAGCAGCAGCGGTGTGACTTCTTCAAGGACGAACAGTGAGAGGGCCGCTAGGGAGACAAAACGTACAGCAACAAAACCCCAGAGTCGCGCGTAAACCCCGAGCCCGTGCGTAAAAGGAGCTCCAAATGCGTAAAACAAAGCAAGATCCCCACAAGTCAGGACTACCAAAGCAAACATTATACGGAGCATAGAGGGCTTGCCTGCCATGGTGCCTGCAGTCCTCTAATAACCCACGGTGTTTTGGTGAAGCCACTTACCCTATACTTTTGGTTTCATTTTCTCAAGGCGTTGGGGTTTTCCGATAAACTGTGTATAAAATATCCAAATGACACCTGACTGTCGGACAACAATAATCACGTTACGAAGGGTGAAACTTACAAGGGTCAAAATAACGTTCTCATGAGTAAAAAAAAAAGTCCAACACCGGTAAATAGATCTAATTTGCAATAAGATAAGATTGTCTTTATTCGTCTGTCAATGGGGGCATCGTGTCATTGTTGCGCACGTTATTAGCATAGAAGGAGAATTAAGAGAACTCTGGTACACATCAAACAAGATCTATATTATTTCAGATAATACAATAATAAGTTCATAAACTCTGGAGCTATAATTTCACTTGAGTCAAAGATAAGTCGAGCCAATAGGAAGTTATACATTTACAGCTGCAGTTGTGTGGTACTTTAGCAGCAGAGAATATGACCAGAATAAACAAAAGATCGCTTGTACTGAATTTTTTTTATTTCAAGCTTTGATACAGATTCATAACGTGTGCTGAGCTGCACACTTTTTATTATTGGTCATAAAATGTAGGTAAGTCATTCCCCAAGATCACAGTTTCCTCTGTGGTGTGTCCATCAATTGTGACAAGATATGCCACACCTCCACTGGAGCCATCTCTGTTCATTGCCAAAGACAAGGCTGCAAGAGAAAAGGAAATAGGACAGTGTTGTATAATTAGTTAATATGGAGGAGGGTAAAATGCAGTTGCCAAAGTATAGTTAACAGTTGAAGTACTTGCTTTAGATCAACTGGAGAAATCAAAAGTGTCAGATATGGCAGTAAACCAACATACTTGTTCCATGCATTTTTATTTGAGAAAATACAATATGAGGGTGTGAACTGACTGAGCTGCTGGATATTGAACATGATACTCACTGTTAAGAACAAACTTTTGACACTCCTCTTTGCTCATGTCTTTTCGATATTCTGCATCTACAAATCCATACACATACGCACTCCCAGATCCTCCAATAGCAAAGGGCTGACGGCTCAAGAGACCATTGAGTGTTGCGTATACCTGCACAAAATTATAAAATCAATACAAGACATTTTTGGAACATGTTTTATAGATAAAACATAGATAACCCCTAACCCTAACCCCCCCCCCCCCCCCCCCCCCCCTCTCACCCAGAAATGGATTAAGGGGAAGAAAATGGATGGATGGATGTGTTAAAATCATCTAAAAAGAATGTGTGGAATTTATATATCAGTGAAAGTTGAGTGCAGGACTATGTGTACTACTGTTGTTATGTCAGTTGCATGAAAGATACTTGATTGATTCTGACCTGCCCTCCTTTCCTTTTGTCCCACCCAGCCACAATCAGATGTGCTGATAGCTCCTCTTTATATTTGTATGAGATGTTTCTGACCAAAGTGGCAGCAGACAGAACTGGCGGGTCTTCATCAATTTCCATACTGAAGAGAAACAACAGCCACATTAAAATGAATAATAATTCTACATCCAAATCAAACAATAGTGAGAAGATAGATGTAATCATACATATTAGGTTTATGTCTGCACATGCCTGGGTGTATTTTTTCTTTGACTTTTGGCCACAGTGAGATTTCTGGATAATGTAATGTCTTGAATGTGTGTTTGTGTGTTTTCCAAAGTTGTACGTTGATTTAAAAACGCATTTAGATAGGCCACCATCACCTGTGTACATCCAGCTGATAGTTCACGATCTCTGCGATGGTCTGTGCGTCTGCAGCCGAGCCTGAAAGCGCGCAGTAGATTTTGTCATGGAGTTGGGACAGTTTATTCATCACTTTGTTCACCACTGTCTCCCTGTGTAAAAGGGAAACTGTTATGACGCTGAACTTGGTATATGGCAACAAAAAATTCTCAAATAACTTTATGCACCCTGCAGAGACTCGTGAATCAGACCCCAGCACGACCCCACCGTCAAACTCGATAGCAATGATAGTTGTCTATTCAGAAGACATTGTTAACACATCAACATGGATTCTCCGCAATTAACCTTCTCAAAAATAATACAGATTACTTGGCAACTTACCCCAGTTTTCACCTCCTCCGACACCCACTCTGGCTCATTTTCCGCAAGCATGTTTACGCACGAAAGATGCACGTTGATATAACAGTAAATAGCCTTTTGGACGCAGTATTACTTAAAACGTGTAGTTTGTTCGTCTTTTTAGCCTAATATCAACTCCATAGTTCGTCGCACTGGGTCGAAATAGAAAGTAATTTTAGTCTCCGCCCCCTCAATGTTCTGTGGCGTTTTAGGAGTAGTGCATGTGCCCATTTTGTCATTCAATATATCAACGATCACAGCTTTAAGAGTCACTCATATACGTTGATTAAAAGTGGTGGCAGCGAGTGTATCTGGGGTAAAAACCAGTGTGTGAAAAAAGCATTACTCTCTAAATATGAACCAATTTAATTTGAGTCTGAAATATGTATAAATAATAATATATGGTCGTGTCCACTCCACATTTGTAATATTTTATTATTTTATTTAATAGTATTTGGAGTATTGCAGTTATAAGTGTTAATCCTTCAATATATCAGGCACAATATGATTGAAGCAGACATTATACAGTAAGAAATCCTTTTTTTATTGGACCTAATTAATAAGTATATATATATAAAAACATATATGTGATAAGCTGCGAGTGAAGCCACAGCAGCCCTGGGGCAGAATAATGACACCAGCTATTATGTCAAACCATCCTGTTTCATATATAGGCATGTACTTCATCATAAATATAACGCATATTATATTAACTTTTTTGTTTTATTTGTATTTAGTGTGCCAGATCTTTCAGAAATGTGACAAAAGATGGACCCTGGAACCAAAAGTTTAAGGACTGCTTAAACCAATAACAGAAATAAAGAAAAGAAAGACATTTAAGAAAAGGGAAGGGAAACATTTGTGGGGAGCTGTTGTGAAACTGTCCTGGATCGGAGCTCATGCAATTCTGCGCTTAAAGCATTTAGGAAATACAATAACCATTTTTTTCATCCTGTGATGTTGGAAATAGACATGACAAATGAAGTGATAACAGTTTAATGATGATTTAAAATGGACATTGCGTTGTTCCAAATCAGTGACATAAATACATCTCGTTGCCCTAAACAGAAGAAGAAAAACAATTGAAGTATTATGTGATTTCAAATAACAGTTAGTAGGATGTAAATACTACTGCATAACATGTTTTTTCACTTTTTTTGTTTTTTCCAGGACTCATTGGTCGTGGAACTTGGGCAGCTTGTCTCCAGGCACCACCACATGCTCCACCCCAGACTTTGTTATCACGACCAGGTGAGCCACGCCACCGCTCACGTTATCCCTGCCCATCGCCAATGCAAGAGCTGGGCACAGCAAAGAAGAACAATATGTTAATGATTAGGTTAAGGATTAAAGCTTTGACTTTGTTCATAAGGAAGGACATTTGTTGGTTTTTGATGAGCAAAACTATGACATGTATATTTTTACTCAAGCACCGATGATAAACACACTTTAAGCTTTAAGTCTGACTTTCATTCTTTTGTGAGACTTGAAGGATAAAGAGGCAGCCCCGTTTTCATCAGTCTGCCCTGCGGAGGCTGCGGCTACACTATCAGCTTGTGTGTGGACTGAATGACCTGATATGTAAATTTAACATTACTTCTTCTTATATAAATCTGCTGTCTTAAACATTGTGTTATTTATTGAAGGTTTTACAATTACATTTTCAAACCTCCAGTCAGTATTAAACAATTGAAGCTACAGTCAGACAGTACCATTGGTGGCGAATTGTAGACATTCTTCTCTGGTCATGTTTGGCCTGTACTTAGCATCCACATATCCATAGATGTAAGTGCTGCCAGAGCCTGCAATGGTCACCGACTGACGGACCATCATCCCTCCAAGAGACACAACATAAACCTGTAAAATATGTTTATTATTATTCTTACTTCATAAACACTTGATTATAGAGTAGTGGTTCGGAGCCCACCTGAGGTCCTTTCCTCCTGTCCCATCCTGCAGTGATGAAGCCAGCCTGTAGCTCGTCCTTATTGTTGTAACACAGCTCTTTCAACACAGACGCTGCTGCTATAACCTGTGGTGGGCTCTGCATCTGTACACTGGGAAAAACAATATAAGATTCTAATAGCATGATGAGATATACATTATTTTATTGAAATAAATACATAGATAGCGATTTAGTAGCCTATCACCAAGCGTACTTCTGTTCCTGTTCATTTTGTACCTTAAGGTCCATTTTTTTAATCATTAATGCATTTTATAGTGCTTTCAATTTGCATTGATCAACACATCCTGCGTTGTTGCCACTCAAACTCGTATTTTCAATTTGGTAGATTATTTATTCACTCTTCAGTCAAATTTTATACTTTATCTACCGTGGTTCACAATCATATAAAGTGTGGTGGTATTCTGATCTACCTCTTGGCCCACTCTGGCACTACATGAATGTGTATGGCAAAGTGTGACGTGACATACAAGGTAGCCCTGCAGAAGTATCAGGTATAATAAATATGCAAATGATTGTACCTGTGAAATGATAAGTGAAATTTTGCCGCCTTCAGAACAGCCTGAGCATCAGCCAGAGATCCAGCCATGCAGCAGAAAATCTGGTCGTGGACTTGAATGACCTTGTTGATTGTCTTTGAGGAAACATACTCCCTGAAAGAGACAGCAACACGTATAAATTAAATAACATATTTTTAATGGCACACCAACCTCCCTAGTTGATATGAAGAAGTATTTAATTATATTTAAATCAAAATTCTGATGAGAAGTTAATGTAAATAATCTCACCCTCCAACTGAAGCTCTGGAGTCTGATCCAATCACAACTCCCCCATCAAAAGTGGCAGCAAGGATTGTGGTCTGTAGAAAAAGATAAAAGAGTGACATTTGTATTTTTATGCACACAGTTTATTTATGTTAGTAATATTCTCATTTTGAAACCCTAAGCATTCATGATATTGACCTGTTAATCTTATCTAGGACTCACTCATTTGAACAATTGTATTGAATTGAACAACAAGGAAATGTGAGTAGTGTGTTCTACGCGTGAAATGAATTGAAGTTCTGCACAAAAAAGAAATGTATTTGCATACTGCTGTGAACGTGGTGACAGATACACCAAGCGTCTGCTGATATGGTCGACTAGTCTGTATCTTTTGGACCTCACTTGTTGAATGAATAATAGCTTCCAAGGTTCAATTACTTCCTGCGTAAAACCGCGGTCGTAATGGCTACAAATATGATCGTCAGGCTTTGTTTTCACTCACCCCCGTGCTGACACCTTTGTTTTGTGCGTCCAAACAGCGTCTCTCCATGTTCGTTCCAAATCGAAAGGTAAAAATCAGGCGCAAGTTTGAACAGCGACATCAAGTGCCACGCGACGCACAAAGCGACGCAGACGCGCAGAACCGTCCACTATGGCGCTAGTGAATGTCCTGGAGACCCCCGCTGGCGGTTTCAGCTTCGAGAATGCATCTAGGTATAACCGTGTTTTCTCTTTCAACTAATTTGTGGCACAATATATGAGTAATGTTCTTGTCTTTTAAGCAAAATCAAAAGCGAAAGTAACTTGTGTGCGTGATGTGTCTCGTATTCTGCGCTGTCAGGCAAAAGGAGAGCAATTTAATCTGTTCTTACTTTAGAAACGCTGCTTTGGAGAAGATTTTTGAGGGGAGGAAGACACCTACACCCCTGAAAACAGGCACCACTATAGCTGGAGTGGTTTTTAAGGTGGGATTTTACATCATGCGAATGGAGTCGGTATGATCATAGCCTGGTAATGGGCATAGCCTAAATATCACTAAACAATGATAACTAACATTTCTCAAACCATGATACACTTTCAAGTCACACTCTTGCTTTGCCCATATGCAACCTAACATGTTTGATTCATAGACTAAGATTAAGTTTATCAGATCCTTTATTCGTCCCACAATGGGGAAATGTCAGTATATACATTAGATTTATGTTTATTAACTGCTCTTTGACAGCAAAAGTCACTGAAACACTTTTACACACATTAAAAAGATGTCCCACAATTTTTTAGTGCATATGTTCTTTCCCTGAACTATAGGATGGAGTTGTACTCGGCGCTGACACAAGAGCCACCTCCAGTGAAGTGGTTGCTGACAAGATGTGTGCCAAGATCCACTACATTGCTCCAAACATTTAGTAAGAGTCAAATCTGAGTCATTTTTAATGATGTGAATTGTTTTATTCTATTGTTTCTTATTTCAGTTGCTGTGGAGCAGGAACAGCAGCAGACACACAGAAAACTACAGACATTCTTTCATCAAATCTCGCCATATTTTCATTGAACAGTGGGAGAAATCCCCGAATGGTCATGGCTACAAACATAGTACAAGACATGCTGTACAGGTGGATTTTGTTTCTCAGTGAAATCTGGCATATGCATCTTCACTATAAAACCCAATAGGTGAAAGATATATGCATTTCTGCCTTAGTCCCACTATAATCCATTCTCTGACTTTGATTAAATCCATGATTCCTCTCTTTTCTGGTCTCCATCTTGCCCTCCTCATCCTGAATTGTCTTGCCTCCAGGTATCATGGCAATATTGGGGCCCATCTAATTCTGGGTGGAGTCGATTGCACTGGGAACCACCTCTACAAAGTGGGGCCCTGGGGAAGCATAGACACCACACCCTTTATGGCTATGGGTAGGTTTAGAATTTCCCATGACATCTATCATGTATCCCTGTTCTGGTTATAGTCGGGTTGTTTGGTCTATGATCGTACAGACATGTAATAGCCATGCGGCTGTTTGCCTCCGAATCATTTCGAACGGCAAAACAGCCTTAAAAACCTGACTGAAATTTTCAAGATGATTTTGGGATCAAACACAGAACAGGAAGAGACACAAGACGATGATGACACACGATTCAGCAGAAGGAAGCTTGTAGTTTGTTTATGATCCAAAATGCTTCCTCAATATTAATAGATCCATGATCTTCCCTTGTGTTAAACTTTCACAAACTTGTGATATTAAGTTAGCTATTAGCCAGGCGAACAGATGTGGGTGATATATCAAAACTTTGATGATATGCTATTATATGTCGAACAGACCTTGGAATCAAACAAAACATACTGTTTTATAATGACTTAACCATCTTTCAAACCATATACATGGTTATGATTAGATTTACATATGATGTGAATCTTGAACAAATATTATGAAGGGAATAAAATTCTAAATTAAAATACTCAGAATATAATAAGTATTACAAATCACTGTGCATTTCACTTCTCAGGCTCTGGAGATCTCGCTGCTATGGGAATTCTGGAGGACAAGTTCAAACCGAATATGGAGGTGGGAGGAAATCAGCGACGCAGTTTTGTGAAAATGTGATAAAATTGTGTTTTGTTTTTTTCATTCAGATGGAGGAGGCTAAGGAGCTGGTACGAGCTGCAATCGACTGCGGCATCATGAACGATCTCGGCTCAGGACACAATATTGACCTCTGTGTTATCACCCGCCAAGGAGTTGACTACATCCGGCCTTTCCAGGAGTCACTGTACAAAGACAACAGGTGTAGAAATCAACACAAGTTGAATAAATAGATATAGTACTTACAAATATAACTTTCAGGGTTTAAAGCACAACACTCCAGGTCTCGACTTTCAAATTGAGATATTGGGAATAGTGTTTAAAACCAGGGCTTGAAGCTTTCTCTCAAACCAAGTTGTCAAAAACAGTCCTATCAATATTTCACATGTATGTATTTTCACATCAGATAGTGACTCATGCAGATTGTTATTAGTATGCAAAAGATAGCTTGTTTTCAAATAAGATAAAGGCAGCATGTTGTGCTATGATTTGTTCACACACTTTTACAAAACTCTTATTCGTTTTTTAAAATGCTGCAATTTAATTTCTGAACATGCATCCTTTCTTGTGTATTAGGAACACAAAGTACAAGTATCGCCGTGGGACCACTGCAATTCTGACCCAGGAAGTAGTACCCTTAAAGCTGGAGGTTGTTCAGGAGACGGTGTTGCGGATGGACATGTGAACCCAAGAGGATCCAAAACCTCTGCTTTTATTATTCTACATACTTTCTATAGCTCCATGTGTCTTGTCATCTACACACAGCACAATAAAACAATTGACCAAATAAATTGTTCGAGTTGTTTGTCAATCAAAAATAATGGACATTTTAAACTTCTGGTATGTAGAGGACAAATGTTTGTACTCAGAAAGGGCTTCTGAAGTAAAAAATGTATCAAGTTGTTTGCTGTTTTGTGTGTTTTATTTTTTGACATGTCTGAGCTTATAATGATGATTGTAAGATATTCTACCATTAGTAACTAAAGTAGTAATAATTGATCAGAGAACCTCCAGGTGTTTGCCAATAGTTTTATTTTTATTTAGCTATATGTCTTGTACAACAACAGCAACAGGCACCACAAGGTTGAAATGTTTGTGGAAGGCGCATAGAAACATCTCCATCACAGAATGTTATTAGCGTATTATGAATATATTCTTTGCTGTTTGCATCGTTTAAAATATATTGAAAGCTGTAAAATTACCATTTATTTATGTTCAGACTATAGACTGTTCAGACGCATTCATTCTCACCAGTGATCTGTAGCCTGACAGATACTGATGACGCAAGCGACGCGCGTTTTTCATTGGCCCGGCCGTTGTAGTTTACCTGTAAACATGATAACGTTGTATAAAAAATAAATTACAATATTGTTTTCATGTAAATTGACAATTGTAATTATATCAAAGGTACATAAAAAAAGTTCTGTTTTTTTTTATTAAGCATTACGATTTTTTTTATTTCTTTCACTTTCGCATTTATTCGTCTTTGTTGCGATCAAGGAAATTCTGACGCAAGTAATCAGAGGCTATAGCTTTACTTTGTACCTAAAGTATGGCTCTTTTTGACGTAGCTGGTTTGAAGCCTTCTTTTGAACTCAGCAGTCAGATTCTTCCAGGGGGGCAGACGCGTCTCGTTGACCGGACGAATCACTTCAATTTCGGTTTGAAAACTCTGGAATTTGCTGTCCCTCGCGGTGTTGACGTAAGTGATACTGTTTCAGTTTTGATCAAAAACATGTAGTCTAATATTGAATAAGGGGAAAAAACAAAGCTGCATCAGACACACATAGCGTCTTCACTTTTACGCCTCATTTGTCTGAGCTGCTGATGCGTAAATGGCACTGTCCGCTCTTCTAACCAAACACGCTCTCTATTTCACAGCCATCTCGGTTTCTCAAGTCCTGCAACAATGAGGAGGGAGTGTGCATTGATATGAACCACGGCACGACCACCCTGGCCTTCAAGTTCAGACATGGGGTCATTGTGGCGGTGGACTCCAGAGCCTCCGCTGGACAATATCTGGGTAAATGATTCTAATCTTGTCATTGTATTGCCATGTCCCTATGCTCATATTATTACTGGCGAGATCACATCATCTAATCCAAAAAGAGACATATTCCCTAAGTAAAGTCATGTGGCTTGCTTTCAGATTACCCACCATTGCATTGTACGCCCAGAAAGTTATTTTACATTTAAAAAAATCTGAGAGACATCCTCCAATTAATTAACATCTCACTAAATACTCATCTGTGTCAGAAAGATGAAAGATTGAGAATTAAATACTATATGAAAGGTCACGTTTGTATGAATCAGGAAGGTGAAATCCTATGACATGACAAATGCTTCTGTATTCAGAATCATAAAAAATGAAACTGTTGACTTGTGATTGACAATTCATCTTTGATAACAAGACAATTATATTTTGAGTTGAAACCCACATATTGATTTTACTCTATTTATTCTATTTTTGTTTAGCGTCTAATGATGTGAACAAGGTCATAGAGATCAACCCGTATCTGCTGGGGACGATGTCGGGCAGTGCAGCCGACTGTCAGTACTGGGAGAGACTCCTGGCCAAAGAGTGCAGGTTTGTTTCAAGGGTCTAACAGAAGCTTTGGTGAAGACCCAAGTTTGTCCAGGGTCTCCTCTCAAAGTGATGTAGCAGCGGCTCTACTCCAAGCTCCTCCATGTTATTGTTTGTTTTTTCTAATTCCTGCTTATAACTATATGCTTTCTGCTCCAATAGGCTGTACCGGCTGAGGCACAACCACAGGATCTCTGTTTCTGCCGCGTCCAAACTGCTGTGCAACATGATGCTGGGGTACAGAGGCATGGGGCTGTCTGTGGGGAGCATGATCTGCGGCTGGGACAGAGAGGTAATGCACTCTTTTGTTTCAGATTGGCTTTGGAAAACCCTAACACTCTTCTCTATTGGGTTATAATTATTTCTTTATTTGTTCTCTATCACGGCAGGGTCCTGGTCTGTACTATGTGGACGATAACGGGACACGGCTCTCTGGGCAGATGTTCTCTACAGGATGTGGCAGCAGTTTTGCCTATGGAGTGATGGACAGTGGATACAGAGAGGACATGACAGTGGAGGAGGCCTATGAACTGGGCCGCAGAGGCATCGTGCACGCCACGCACCGGGACGCCTACTCTGGGGGAGTGGTTAACAGTAAGTCTACCAAGCACAAACAATAGACACATTACAGAGGTAATAACATGCATTTGGATATGAAGTTAAAGAAAACATGAACTTATGTTTATATTTCAATATGATTTAGCCTCAATTTTCTCTTGCTATTACTATTACTGTTACTATAGACCTGTGTATGTTCATGTGAACAGCAATGTTTCTCAAAACATTGAGAAGGAACAACAGGATTCCAGGTCACAAAAAACAATAGAATATTCGTTGTAATTTACATTTAAAAGTAACACTATAGATTAATTAAATCATTAATGAGGTAGATATATTGTGTACACACACACACACACACACACGCACACACACACAGACACACACAAAGATAATCTTTGAAGCAATTGTGGCTCATTATAATATCTTAGTGCTTTTAAACTTTTTAAAATTCTGATGTAAAACAATGTAATAGAGATTTGACCTGTGGCTATAAGTAAAAACATGTCTGTTTGTGTGTCCAGTGTATCACATGCAGGAGGACGGCTGGATTAAAGTGTGTAAAGAGGATGTGTCTGAGCTGATCCACCGCTATAAGAAAGGCATGTTCTAAAGTCCAACAATAAACTTGTCTATTGCCCATGATCCCAAAACAGGCTGTTTGTACAACTGGTTAAACCACCCACTGTTTTATTTACTGACCACCAGAAATAAAGATTACATTTGCCAAAAGTTTGTCTCTGGTTTTTGCTGAACAGGATGAACTGGTTTAAGATCAACCAGGAAGGAGAAAGCTGTGGCAAAGTCATGTGACTGCGTGTGTTTGGTGATGTGTGCAAATAACCCATAAATTAACCCTTAATACACAGAGGGCCCTTAAATACTTATAAAATGATAGTGCACCTTTGACCCTGAAATACAGAAGTATGAAACCAGTAAGATGATTCTGAAAGTAACTCGCTGGAGGGTGTTTTAGTGCACTATAAGAGTCATTCATTATTAAGCAAAACAAGCCAAACTATGAGCTGAGATTCAGTTCTCATGTTGTTGATTCTTCCCATTAGAACATACAGCACACAGCGTGACAGAGAAATCAAATATGGAAGTCATTATTAAAGTAAGAGCTTTTTATTTAAATACAAGCAGCAGAACAAAGGAAAAAGATGAAAAGCAGTGCACTTCCAGATTCACAAAAAATGTTCAAACGATTTAAATCAACAAAATAACAAAATATCTATTAAAATCTACGTCACGCCTCATTATAATATTATGACTGTAATAAAATAATATCTAACAAATATATTTACATATCTCATGTGTATCTTTAGAGTGCTTCATGTTTGCACTGTTTACAAAGGCAGAAATAAATCGTCCTGTTCTTATTTTCAGATGATGTTTGTTCACATAATATCAAACAAAATATGTTTTTAAAAAATTGTGAAATGGAATCCACATTTTTACATTTGGTTCTATGTATCTACGACGGCTTTAGTTCAATGACCCTTTATTGTAAGAGAAAATATAGATTTTTGTATCATCTGCCCTCCAGGTTAATATTAATATGGTTCCATTGTAGATTTGATATTCAATGTAAATGTATTTGTGATCAAACTGACAACATTAAACATTTATAAAAAGCCCCTTCACCAGAAAACACTATGGTCCCTCATGTGTATAAACTTAATAATGCCACAAATGATGCTTTGACTAAAATGAGCAAAAACAAGATGCATTTGTTGAAACTTGGAGTGATTTGAAACTTAAATTAGAATACAGTATTGCATGAAAGCCAGGTTTGTAAAAGTGTATGACATCCAAGAATGACGTGTGTCCAACTGGAATTCCCCTCTCCTCCCAACAGCGATTTAAAACCTGAGAAAGAGAAACGAAAATGAAACATAAGAATTTAGCACTTCAAACAGGGGAGTGTGTGAATGTGGTGCTTTAGCCATTAGGTTCTAAAACACTTGAAGATAAGACACATGATGTTAAAGCTGGGGAATTTAACTGTCAATTCACAAACAATTTCTCTACGTTATGAAATCCACAAAACTTGTTCCTTGTTCTAAAAGAATCTACATCTGTCACATGTTTTTGGCCTTTGTCACATCTTTAGAACAGGACCCGAAGTATGCAGTAATGTACCCCACGTTTAATGTAAAATTTTAAATGAAATGTTTTTTACTCACTTTGGATTCAGCTCCTCTTCGACTTCTCTATCGCTCACAGCTGCAAAGATTCAACATAGTTAGTCATGTTATTTAAGATATAAAAGAAAAAAGTTTATAATATATTATAATTTAAGAGACTCACGGGTTGGAGGGCGCTTGGCTGTAACAAAAATAGGACTCATTAAGAATAGGAGTATAAAACCCAGCTATAACACGGACAATGAAATAAATGTAGGTCTTACCGTTCTACGTCATGGTGCTACGTCCCTTAACGGACTTCGCTAGTGGGATATCACGTGACCCCCAGGTCACACGCCAGAGAGATCAAAATAATTTGCTCCAATCACTAGCGACCCTCCTCTATAAAGGCCCCTGCACAAGGCCGGACCCCCTCTTTCACTCTGGCGCCGATTGAGATCTACCACAGTACTTACTTCATTCTGAGATGTCTTCCATTGTTCGTCCGAGTTCCCTTCGCCCTCCGGCGTCGGACGTCATCGCTGGATCCAGACGGTGGAGGACTTCACCTCTGTGGGCGCCACCACTCGAGGGAGGAGGAGGATACAACCCACGTTGTGCCCGCGGATGGACCCGATCGTCCATTACGCGACACGTGAGTGGCCTAAGCCCCTAGCAGCCAAGAGGCCTGCTCTGGGGTACGTCATGTACTGCAGCGTGCAGGACTGGTCCTGGACCGGTGGTGTCCCGGACATCGAGGATTCAGTCCGCATGGCCCTGCAGCCCTCCGCATCCGTGAGGCCCGGCACCAGACCTCTCCTTCCCTCCCAGCGGGACAGGATGTCTTTGGCGATGCTGGATAGATGGCGGCAGTAGCTCAGTGTGTAGAGCGTTGGCCTTTGAGCCAGAAGGTTGTGGGTTCAAGCCCCGCTCAAGACCTTCACCATCAACTCCCACTGACTACTATCGTTGTGTCCTTGGCAAGACACTTAACCTCTGGGAACACCAGCCACAGTGGGGCGGCTGCGGCTGTAAAGTGCCAAACTGCCGTTGTGTCCTTAGGCAAGACACTTCACCCCCATTGCCTAGAATGAGTCTGGTGTGTGTGTGAATGGTTGGTGGTGGTCGGAGGGGCCGATGGCGCATACTGGTTGCCTCGCTTCTGTCAGTGTGCCCCAGGGCAGCTGTGGCTACAGCAGTAGTTTATCACCACCGTGTATGGAGTGAATGAATAATGACACATGTGAAGCGTCTTTGAGTGTCCAGAAAAGCGCTATATAAAACCGATGCATTATGCCAATGCGGCACAGGTCGTCACATTGGCTAACAACATGGCAATCATCACGGGGGCCCTGGATAGGTCGCTCTCCTCTGGCCAGGCGCTCAGTGGAGACCTCCTATCGCAGGCGAGGACCACCTCGGCGGCGATCCTGCGCATGTGCCAGGCGCTAGCCGTGGATGGCGGCCGCTCCATGGCAGCAGCCCAAGTCGGGGCCAGGCACCTTTGGCTTGGGCTGGCTAATATCAGGGAGGCGGAGAAGAGGCAGCTGCTGGACCTGCCCGTCTCCCAGACGTCCCTCTTCGGCCCGGACATGCAGGCCCTGGTGGCGAGACTGGAGTCTGCAGCCAACGACTCGGCTAGGCTAGCCCCGCACCTAGCACCGAGGCGCGGGGCCCGCCCACCATCACGGAGCCGGGGCAGAGGCAGAGAGCGTTCGCCCGGGAGCCGTCCTGACCCGTATCCGCGCTCTGTGGTCCATCGTCCCCCCTCGACGAGGCCCCCGGGTCCAGACAGACCCACGGGTGGCTCGCGGGAGCAACGCACCCACCGCCGGCCTCCCTATGGCAGAGGAGGTCGGGGTGGCAAGAATTCTTTCAATAAAGGCCGACCGGCATTTCGTCAGTACTCGTCGTCTGAGTCTCATTTGGGGGTACGTAACATGTCTAATGTGCAGTCTGATTGTGTTACTTCCCGGGCACATAACGTTGCTTCGCTAGGCCTGCAGCCCCCAGAGCAGGGTGTGCAGTGCGCTATGCGAGCTACGAGCTCCGGTCCTCTGATCCATGCTATGCCCTCCCAGAGAGAGGTCAGGCGGAGGGATCTGGTGAGTAGTAATGTGTGTGCTTCGGCCGAACGCGGGCTAGCCCCTCTGAGCTACGAGGCTAACACGGGGTTTCCCACTCCAGGGGCTCGCCCCCCCCTCCATGAGGCAAGAGCCAGGGGGGGGCGCAGCAGTCGAGTCACGTGGTATGAGCAGACCCGTACTTATGACGTCGGGCCTGCAGGACACGTGACCGCCCCTGGCGCACACGGTATGACGCAGGGGGCCCCCCTGCCCTTTCGTCCACCCCCCCTCCCTGCTAGGAACACCAGGAGAGGGCGGGGCTGTGACGTCTCGTGTTCCATCTCCCGTTCCGCCCCTCACAGACTTCTACAGCATCTGGAGGGAGCAGGGATTACTGACGGATCCGTGGCTGGAGAAGACATTGCGCAGGGGTTACGCACTGCAATTCTCCCGAAAGCCACCACCATTCCGAGGCGTACGGGCAGCACGCTCTCAGGTACGGGGATCAATAGTGGCACTACAAGCGGAGGTCTCCTCTCTGCTGAGTCGAGGCGCAGCAGTGGAGGTAGACCCACAGGACGCCACCAGGGGGCTGTACTCCCCTTACTTCTTGGTGCCAAAGAAGTCAGGCGGGGTGCGTCCCATTTTGGATTTGCGCGTTGCTGTCCACAAAACAGCTCCTCGAGTGTGTCAGGCAGGGAGATTGGATGTCCTCCATAGACCTGACAGACGCTTACTTTCACGTGCCAATAGTTCCGGAACACAGGAGGTTCCTGCGCTTCGCAGTGGGAGAGAGGAGTTACGAGTACAGCTGTCTCCCCTTCGGCTACGCGCTCGCGCCTCGGACCTTCTCAAAGTGCGTGGAGGCGGCACTGGAGCCGCTCAGACGCGCAGGGGTAGAAATATTAACCTATATAGACGATTGGTTAATACTGGCCTCATCCAGGGAAGTGGCCGTGAGTCACACGCACTGGGTCCTGTCCAACATACAGCGCCTGGGCTTTGTGGTGAACAGGGAGAAAAGCAGGCTGCAACCGGCTCAGCGCATGATCTATCTCGACCTGCAGCTAGACTCTGTGACGTTCCGTGCTGCATGGTCCGAGAACAGACGGAGGAAGATTACCCGTCTAGCCAGGGAGGTTCTGGCGGGCCCCAGGGTCCCCGCTCAGCGCCTCAGGTCCCTGCTGGGGATGATGGCGGCGGCTCATGCTGTGGTGCGGCTAGGCCTTCTCCACATGAGGAATTTTCAAAGGTGGTTCTCACGCCTCAGGCTTCACCCCTCCCGGGACGGGGGGAGGCTTATCTGGGTTCCCCAAGTGGCAGCATCGGACATCAGGTTTTGGCTCACTCCGGGTCTATTGCGGGACGGAGTGACTCTGGCCTGCGCCGTGTCTCACGTGGAGGTGTTCACGGACGCG